CGGGGCTTGGGGTGCTTGGGGTGCAGGCATTTGGGGATATCCACGAAGACCCCGTAGGCTAGAGCTGATTCGAATGCAGATGGTAGGTGTAGGAGTTGATCTAGGAGATCGGGCCTGTAGCTACGCATTGCCTATAATAACCACGTGGGGGTCAAGCTGGTCAAGCTTGGTTTTCTCTGCCGTCTTCATGACTGACTTCTCAAACAACCTCATCAGCTGTACATCTGTTGATTTGGTCATTCAGACGCTGAAAACCCCAGACTGACCGTTTTCCCTCCCACGCTTGGAGCCTATGTGTCTGGGATACCAACCAAAATCCATCAGCTAAAGTTCAAAAGAAAAATGGAACAATTTGGCTAGGAGGATGTTCACAGCAGTGTAAATGAAACTGTTTCCTCTAAGAGAACAGATTTAATAAATTACGACCATCCATATGATAGAGGAAGAATAGCTATTAAATACAGGTTTTCAAGGAATATCTAATGACATGGGAAAATAAATCTGGATACCATATTATACTAATTAGAAGAAAAAAAGCTATATACATAAACGCCTAGAAGAAAGGAGGAAATGCAGCAAATACACTGAAATGTCAACAATGATTCTCTTTGTATTTTCTATCATGTCCACTGTGACCATGTTATTTTTTAGCATCAGGAAAAAATGTTTTGTTTTGTTCTCTCTCTTTTTTTTTTAAACCAGAGGGATGATTTCGAAGACCAAAAAAAAAAAAAAAAATTACAAACTAACTTGTAAAGGGTGGTGTGTGGCTGCTGGTTGTGGATTACACAGGACACTTCCATCTCTGCTAGCCACAACACACATCTCTCCCAAATATCAACCTGCATACTTCTGAGTCTCAGAAAAGCTTCACCAGTTTGCCCCGCTTTAACCTGCCTCTTTCTCCTTATCTTTCTCCCTTCCTCCCAGGACTCTTCCCTCGGCCCCATGGAGACACTGGGCTCTCCCTGATGTCTGTCCTGAGAACAGCGAGAGTCCTGACTTTATCAAGACTCAAAACTGCTAAGCAGGCCCACTACAAGCTCCTGCACTATCTGGACCCCATTCCCACCTACTCTCTCCCCTCTCTAGTGTCACTCATCACTATCTCCTTGCCCCAGGGCCTTTGCACAAGCTGTTCTCTTTGCCTGGACCCATATTCTTCTAGGCAGCTGCAAGGGCTTATTCCTTCACCTGTATGTATTTGGCCCTATTATGTGGTATTATCCATGGATTTCCCTTCAGGACAGTAAAGAGTGCTATAAAATACTTGCTATTAAAAAAAAAAAAAAAAAGCAATGGGTCTGATGAAGTTAAGGACCCCTGCTGTACTGTGATTGCTGGTTGGCATTTCTGTCTCTCACACTAAAATTAGAAACTCTGGCCGGCTGGGAGGGCAAGAACTGAGCCAAGACCTATTTGCCAAAACAAATAAATGAACACATGAGCAGGCTGGTGATCTCTGAAGGGGGGTGGCTAGGGGCAGTTACTGGTGAAAAGCTTTGACTTCCCTGGCTTGTGAGAGGCGAGCTGCTCTCTTGCCAGTGTGTACAGGGACCTGACTGGAAGGCCCTGAAGATCGCTATCTGGCCAGGAACTCTCTAGAAGCCCAGCCACTCACCACACCTGCTGAAGGCTCCTGGCTCCACAAAGATCACAGAGCCCATGGCTATTCCATATACTGTAAAGCTTACAGCTTCACCGTGGGTGAGGGAAGTACTCCCTGAGAATTAGGAGGCCACAGCTCAGACCTCTGAGGCTGGCACTTCGATGTGCCAGTGAATGAGATACAATACTCTGTGTATCTCAATGAGATACACATACCCTCTATATCTGTGGGCTGGGATCCCTCACCTCTCCCCACCTCCCCGCCCCATGGTTGAGGATCAAACAGACTGCGAACACCAGGAGCTCAGGTCAACTGTGTGGACTATGCAAGTGTCGGTCAGCGTGACAGGGAACAATGACCGTATGGAACGTAATTAAATCTTTGGTGACTCAGAGGCCCTTCAAGAGCTGAAGCTCATCATCATCCACATCAAGTATCACTGAATAGTATTTGGGATCAAATTCTGATTGTTGCAACTTTCTCGGTATTAAAAAATCTCGATGAGCAAGGCTTTTTCTATAACCTATCGAAGCGTGCGGGTGACCCACCGGAGTCCACTCCGGTCCTTCGCTCGTCCCCAACCACCCACGCGGTCCCTGCGGATGGAGAGAGGGTTTGTCTACTTAGGCAGAACGCATTCACTTGAGCAGAAAGCCCTGCTCTGGTAAGGATGGGGGGGGAACAACCCACCCCTCAGACTCCACCCTCTTCCTTTGATCCTCCCACTGAATGCCGGGCTGGAGCACAGAAGCGAAGCGGTTCAGATGTAATTATTTTCATTCAGCCAGATGCTGGGAATTAGTCTCTTTTCCTTGCAAGTATTCTAGGGAAAGACAGAACGCAGCCAAAGGCACCCCAAAAGAAAAGGAGCTGACAATCTCAAGAGGAAGGAAGGGAGCCCACCCCCCACCTCCTTGCCTTGGAACGGCTTAGACGAGGAAACCAGCTACCACCCCTGGATGAAGTGGGGGGAGGGGAAGGAGGAGGAAGGGGGAGACACCTAATAAATACTAAACACGGGCTGTTTTGCCAATCCCAGAAAACCAGACCGAGGACAGCACCCAGCATGGTCTGGAGCTTCAGAATTCCCAAAGCACTTTCACTTCTATTACCTGATTTAATTAGAAACTAGGGAGGAAGTCACGGGCTGAGCTAGAAGTTGGGGGCAAACCCAAGTTAGGCTTCAAGGAATTCAGATTCCATCTTTCCGCAGACACCTGTTAGGCCCAGCCTCCTCCACGAACCCTTTCAATCCTCACGGCAGGCACCCCATCAGCCCCAACATACAGGTGGAGAAACTGAGGCTCAGGGAGCTTAAATAGCTCTACTATATGTCAGCTGGGTTTCCTCTTCCTTGTCTCAACCCCAGTAACTTCCAGATGGTCAGCATACACCCTTGTAAGAGTTTCCACCATCAGCTGGTGCTAACCATTTGGTCATTCATTCAGTTGCAGATTCCTGAGAGATCCCTGTGAATGTCTACCCGCACACCAAGCCCTCGGCTGGGGCCAGGCATCAGGACCGGTGTGGCTCTGCCATCAAGTTCCCAGATCCACCAAAATAAACAGCCAGAGAAGCCAGAAGAATGAGCACTTGGGTATAAGCTGATGTGGTCATCACTATACTGCGATTCTGCATCTTACTTTCCCACCGGAAGCCCCCGAAAGCAGAGTTGGGGACCCCACCACCTGGCAGTTAAAGACCCTGACTCTAGGACCAGACTGCATGGGTTCACATCTCTTCTACCCAGTGACTAAGTGACCTTGGGCAGGTCATTTAACCTCTCCAAAAAATAAAAACTGTAATATACCAGATATGATAATATCTCATACAGTAAGACCTACAGTCTTATATCACATATTATAATAATACAGATAAATCAGTCAACCATATAAACCACTCAGCATAATTGCTCAATTAATCTTGGCTAACAATTTATATACCCACAGTAACAGTTCTCGAAGTATGGACCAGGGACCCTCAAGGGGTGGTCTGTGAGGCCAAAGCTATTTTTGTAATAATATCAGTAAGACATGGAATTTTTTAGAAGTTACCTAACACTGATATCACAACAGATTGACTACAGAAACATATATGACACTCCAGCCCTCTTCTGTTCAGCCTGACATTAAAGAGATTTACAAAAAGTCCAAAACAAGGCCACTCTTCTCACTAAATGACTTTTGTTTTGGAAAATACAGTTATTTTTCAAAAAAGTTGTTATTTATGTTATCCTATAATGGGTTAAACTGTTGTGATTTTTAAATGAGTTAATATATATTTTTTAATTTATTGATTTTATTTTCTAATATGGCAAATATTTACGGTTAACAAATAACCATAGTTGTACTAACTTCCCTGGAAGGTCAGAAAATCTTGTTTCTCCTCCTCCCTCCTAGGCCCTCTTACCTGAGCCCAAGATGAATTTGGGTTCCCAGGTTACCCAGGCTCTGGCTACCTCGTCCTTCTCTCCCGAGGACACACCCATTCCCACCTGAGTTTCCTAATCAACCAGAGAGGCATGCAAGGCTGGGAATAAGCCTCCGTTTTAGAATTGGGTTGACCCGGATTAGAATCGTGACTCTACCACTTACTGTCTTTGAACAGATGGTTTAGCTTCTCTGAGCCTCAATTTCCTTATTCATACAATGGGAATAACAACAGTACCTACCTCTTGGGATTGTTGTCGGGAATAGTGACAACTTACACAAAACACCCACCCCTTGACAAATAACAACTATCATCGTTACTGTGTTTCATCGTTACTATTAGCCATCCGGTCCCCCAAGCCCCTCCTGGGTGTGCTCAGCTGCCCCTTCCGCTGTCCCCATCTCCCTCTTCTCCACAGTCCCACAGAAGGAGCAAAACCAGGGGCTGCGTGGGATTGCAGCCTCTGGCTTCGCAACACGCACACCCCAACCACGCGTCCTCACTCCCTCAATCCCAAGCAGGGTGTCACCCTACTCCAGAGCTAAAAGCGAAACATGACAGCTAACTGCCAAGCGCCCAGGCTCACGACTGAAAAAGCCCTCTGCTGCCAGGGCTGGAGCCAAAGCAGTCTTGGTTCAGGGAGAGAGGACCATGACGAGGAATGGAGGCGCCCCAGCCTAGAAGGCCAGGGACCAGGGCCCCAGCTGGCTCTGCCACTAATTGTGGGTGAGTTCCATCCCTTCTGGGCCTCAGTCGGCTCAGCTATAAAAGGAGGAGACAAACTTCTAGCTCAGATGTTACAGAATTCTTGGACAGCCAGGTAAAACTGGGGAGCCCTGACTTCCCCAGATCCCTCGAAGGACACATGTGGCCCTGGGGTCACAGGGAGCGCAGCCTGCCCTCTGCCACGGCTCCACCCCCACCCCCACCAGACCCGGTCCTGAGTCCCTCTGCCACTCACCCTACAGTTGCTCAGCTCCTCAGCGGACAGGATGATGGTGCCACATTTCTTCCCTGGGACCCCACTGGGAGAGGAGAAGATGAAAGAATGGAGAGCCAGACAAAGACAGACAAAGCCTGAACACTCCCTGAATGGGCCCTCCTCAGCCTCCCCCTTCCCCAACCAGCAGATCTGCCCAGAGCCCCTGAGAAGACAGAGTCTCCTGAAATTCTTGTGGCAGTGTAGCCTAGGGCACTTGCTTCCTGGGCCAGGGCCCCCAGGCCTGGAACTGCCCCGCCCCCTGCTCCCCCAAGAGCCCACCACGAAGTATAGTGCCTGCAATGAAAGTCCTAGAAGCGGAAAAGCATCCAGACTCACCCGGAGGCTTCCAGACCAGTGGTTCTCAAACTTTCCATCCAAAGACCACTTCTGTGGGCAAAAGACCTCGTGGGCCAGCCACCCCACCCTGCACCCAGCTGACCCCCAGAGTCCTGGAACCTTTCAGCTCTGAGCCACTCTGACTGATCATGGGTGGGAGAGCAAGCAGCAAGAGGGAGTTAAGCAGAAGGGCTGGTATCCTCCCAGTGGTAGCTTGTCCAGGCTCTCTCCCATGGCTACCTCCCCTTGAACATCTTGGCTGGGGTCTCTCGGGAAGAGAGATCCCATGGCCATTCATGCAGCTCCTCAGTGAGGTGGGCAACCATGACATGAAGTTGGCCCACCCAGAGAATCCCCACCAAGAGGTAGAGTTCCCAAGCTGGGGCTTCCCCCAGGGAACCTGGACCACCTCCCCCCTGGGTCAGGAGGGCCCCCTCTCCTAGGCACCAGCCCATTCCACTCCAGTGTTTGGGACAAACCCGGGGTTGTGGGTCTCCGGTGTGGCCAGGGGCCACTGGGAAGGAGGGGAAAAAATGTCATGCTGTCCAGTAGCTGTTTAACTTTGGACTCATGATGGTACCTCTCCAACTTCCGGGTTCCTTGCCCAGAGAATGAGTATGTTTGTAGGCTCCATGAGTAAGAATGTGCACACGCAGCGCATGGCACCAAAAAAGGCTCCCAAGGAGCACCATTTCGCTCCCTGCCTCCTTTCCTTCACAATCTCCCCAAGCTGCTAAAATCCAGCCCCACACCTCAGGCCAGCCTTGAGGCTCCCAGCCTGCTGTCTGCAGAACACACTTTGAGAACCACTGATGGAGCTCTCCCCAGTGCCAGCTTCTGGAGGGAGAGGCTCTCAAGTACAGGAGGCAGGGGCGCTGGTCCCTGAGGCTGAGACAGCCCAGATCTCTCCACATCATGTGAGTAGAGTAGGGTCCCCTGCCATAGGCCTGCCAGCTTGTCCTCTTAGACAAGGGCCGGTGAGCAGAGTGCCCCTGCTCTGGTCTGGCCCTCCCGGGTATAAAGACATGATTTGTTTGACCAGAGAGACAATCCTCACACCATCCTCCTCCGCCAGTGTTTCTCCATCTGTTCCTCCCTCTGCCTCTGGGCCCTGGGCCCTTCTTTGATTTCCCATCTTCCCTTCCCTCCCCTCCAGACCCAATCCGCTCCCACCTGCCTAGGGCCTTCCTTTTGCTCCCCCATTGCCTTTCCGGCCCTCCCTCGCTGCTTCTCTCCCAGACTCCTGCTCCATCTCCAACTGCTGCTTCCATAACTCTCCATGAAATAAGCATCCACACCCTTCCTGGGCTGTGAGCACCCAGGGCCCCCAGAGGCCCCTTTCCCATATCCAGCGGCCCCAGCAGCCAGTCCAGCGGCTGGGACCCTGGCTCCTAGGAGCTCTCAGCAAGGAGAGGGGAGTTTTGCTTACTCAGCCAAAATACTCAATGGTGTGAAGCCCCTCCAGGCTGGCCCCCCACCCGGAGGGGGGCAGATATTCCCTATCCTGCCCCACCCCACACCCTCTGATGAGGATCCTCCCTCCAACCAGGAGAGAGGGAGCGGGAAGGAGTACCAGGGCGGGGGAGTGGTGTGTCTTTGTTGCATGTAGTTGCATGAAGCCCGCCAAAAACAGATGGTTGGGGCGGAGGCCAGGGGAGCAAGCAAGGCAGGCGCACCAGTGACAGGGAGCAAATACAGAAAGTAAGGATTTAGCAGAATCTATTCTGAAAGGAGGCTGACATCCAGCAGTGGAAGCAATGGAGGGGAAGTGGGGTAAGAAGCTAAACAGAAGGGAGGGACTGAGGGAGGGGAAAAGGGCAAGAGGTAGGAGGCGGAAAAAACCAGGACAGGGATAGAGGCAGGGCAAGTGCCCAGCTCCTGCTGGCCACTGGAAGCAGCCCCTACCTCTGCTCCCCACCCTGCTCCCAGAAGTCCCATGAGCCACTGCGGCTGGGGATGCTAGAGCTGCAGCCGGGTGTGGGAGGGGCCGGCTGCAGAGTGGCACTTGTGCACACTCAGTGCACACTCTCTCTCTCTCTCCCCAACCCCCCATCCCCACCCTGCCTGACCGGGGCTGAAGGCACAGTGGTGGGAACAGGGCCCAGGCCTGGACACTGAGGCCCCCTCTGCAGAGCCGGCTGGATGTCTGAGGACTCCAGAGCCAAGGATGTCTGCTGACCTACCCATTGGACACAGCTGGCATGGGTTTGCCTGTCCTGGAATTCAGGCTGAATGCTCCTATCCTGTAGAGAGAGAGGCAGAGAGAGCATGTCATGAGTCAAGCCCCCAGTCCTGAGAGGCCATAGCACTTGGCATCAGAATTCTTGGAGACAGGTATCTGTTCCGCATCAAACAGGACCAAGAGCTGCAGGCCAGAGGAAGGAGAGGTGTTCCTCCCAAACCTTGCTGTGAGGTGCTGGGTGACTCTACCTTGGGGTCCTCAAAGTGTGATCTGGGGCCCAGCACCGTCAGCATCCCCAGAGAATGTGTTAGAAATGTAAGTTCTCAGGCAGCCCCACAGACTAAGGGGGGGGGCAGCTGAAGCCTGTACGCTTTGAGGACCACAGCTTTACCTCTAGACTGTGAAATGGGGAGACTGCTGAGAGAATCACGAGAGATCAGAGAAGCTGATGTCAGTCTAGTCCTGAAGAGATGACCCAGGGAAAGGGAGGTGTTGTGTGTGGGTCTAGCAGGGAGACGAGAGACAGACACATGACATTTTCAGTATGGGAAACAGATCCCCCTCCTTCACCAATCCATCATCTCCAAGATCCTGCTGGCCCCCCCAAGGCTTGCCTCCACAGCTGTCTCCTGTGGAGGTCTTCCTCAATTCACTTAGCAGGTGTGCCTGTCCACCATGGGTGGGCTGGGTGACAGCAGGGAAGAAACAGACCGGAATGACAAGCGGTCTTTTGACCCACATCTGGGAGCCAAGATGGGCAGACACACACACTCACTCTGGGAACCCCAAATTCTATAAACATCAGAGCCCTCCAAACCTGGGTGTTTTCCCTATTCTCAATAAATGATAGCATATATCACTATTCTCTGTGAACCCAGAGAAGGAGACCTTTTCAGGGACAGAGAAGCCTCTCCAGGGGCCCTGAAGTTAACATACAGTTAGTGGGAGTCAGAGACCAGGGGCTGGGAGAGAGACCCCCATTCCTGACCATAATGCATTCTGCGCTTCTTGGTCACAGCGAGGGGATAGCACCCAGTTCGAATTTAGCAGAAGCCAGCAGGGAGTTGATACCCAGCCCAGCCTGCTCTCCCCTTCCTGCCCATCCTGCCATGTGGCCCGGACACCTGTCCCAGTCTGCAGGCTCCTTTTGTCTGGGTTCTGCCCCTAGGGCTTCCTGAGAAATAGGGACAAGAGAGGGCAGTCCCGTTACCCAGCCAGCCTTGGTTGGTCCCTACAGCCGCCTGCAGCTTCCACCAGAAGAAGCCTTGGGATTCCTCATCCCAGAGCCTTCCTAGAAGAATAGCTTTCCCCTAAAAGCACTTACAGCCCTATAATGCAGATTTTCAGGGCAGGGTAAGATGAGGAGGACCTCACCCTACCCACCTCTGGCCTACAGTAAAAGGTGAATAATCTGAGGGATATGCTATGTGAGGAGAACCCCTGAATTCAAATCCCAGCTCTCCTATTTCCTAGCTGTGTGCCCCTGAGCAAGTCACTTTTCCCTCTCTGGGCATCAATTTCTTCCCTTTACATTGGCAAGGGTGGGAAGTACGAGTGGACTAGATAGTGTCTCACGTCGTCCCAGGAATATGGGGCTCTAATAACTGAACCTGGGTCCCTCCAAGTTCACTGGGTTAACGGCCCTGCAAGGTCTCCAGGGTCTCCTTATTCCTAATCACCCTGCATGAGTGGCGGCTTGCTGCGCCCCTACCCTGAGCTAAGTAAGGGTGGGCGGGAGTTTGGCCCATCCCCAGGGAAGCAACCCAAACAGGCCCCACTCCCCTCTACACTTACGTGAGGGGCTTCTCCAGGCGGCTCCCAGGGGACCCCACGATCTCTCCGAGGGTGCAGAAGGCCTGGCCCAGGAAATCCTGCATGCCCAGGGTACCAAAAAAAAAAAAAAAAAAAAAGCCAGTGTCACCCACTCTACCCACAGCCACCCCACCTCCCCCATCACCCCGTGCCGAGAAGTAGGCAGACTCTGAGATAACCAGAAGCAGCATCAGACATATGGGTCTGTGTCCCAGGGAAGCTCGAGGCTGACCCAGACTCTGGCACTGAAGAGAGTTTCTGAATCTCTGGGCAGTCACTGGCAGAACTCACATGTTTGGATAAATCCGGGCTCTTCGAGTCAACGTCATAACTGCAGGGAACACACAGAGATAGTAAAGACGGCTGGGGCATCCTGTCCAGAACTTCTGGGGTCCCTGATCTGAGTCAAGACCCCCATATCCCCAAACACAGGCTCTGAGAAGGTAGGATATTTCTGGGAGTAACGACTGGGAGGCCCACATGGGAGCCTTGCAGGGTACTGGCCATATTCTGTCTCTTGATCTGGCTGATGGTTACATGAGGGTAAACAGATACAAAATGCATCATGGGATAGACTCTAAAGATTTGTGTACTTCACTATATATGTGTTATGCCTCATTAAAGACTGAAAAACTAAAATAAACTTGCTTGGCAACCCTGGCTGGTTGTCAGGTGGCTGAGCCGCCTTGCCCTTCAAAGCCCATTCTCCCATCTTCCCAGCTAAGGCGAGGTGCCCTTGGAGCTCAATACCTTGCCTTTGAACCTCCTGATGGTTTCACCCTGCCCAGGCCTGCCCGGCTTGACCTGGGGCCTCCTCACTCAAGAATGAGGGAGGCATGAACACTTTCCCCTCTTCCATCTGCACCTGGGCCCCTCCCTTGACCTGGAGCCGCTCCTGCAGCCCCTTTTCCAGCATCCCCCTCCCCTGCCCAACCCCACTGGCTATCCAGGCCCCAAAGCCTCCCACTGAGGGGCAGTCCTTTTTACTCTACCCCTGCTCTAGCACTTTCTCTCTCCAAAATGTCCCCAAATGGTGTCTTCTCTATGATGCGCTGTAAGTCCTCCCTCAGTCCCTCCAAAGTCATGTCCTTCCACTGCATTTTTTTTCCCTCTGCTCCTGCAAGCTCCCAACCCCCTTTTGGCCCACTCTGTCCACAGTCCTCTGGGATACAGTCCTTTCTAACCATCCTCATGCCTAGGAAAAACAACGAAACAAGGCTCCCCACACCCGCTCACCAGACTGAAATCCCATCATCGTCTTTAACCTCAGCAGAAGGGTGGTCTGCACCTTTGTGGAACACATGCACATGCCCGAGGCCCCATCAAGTCAGGTTACCTCTGCAGGAGGGGAGACCAGAGGGCACCCCTCTCCCAGAATAAGCTCCAACAGAGGGAGAGGTCAATGGGGAAGTTCCCATCACCTGGGGAGAAAAAGGCTCCCGGGAAGCCCCCAAGATCTAATCCCCAGAGTCAGGTGGCTTGCTCAGGGTCCTCCCACACTTAAGGGATACAAATGGTGGGGAGCCTCTGTTCTCTCTTCCCACCTCTTTTCCGTCTCCTGATGAGGGTGGGTCTGAACTTGAGCTAATTGTTTTCGTCCCAGACCAAACCTGAGATCCCTCTAATGTCACGGCACCCATCCCCTTCCTTGGTAAGAGAAACTACTACCAATCTCAGGTCCTAGAGCCCCTCCCACCCATCTATGGTCCCCCCGCCCCTACAGACCCATCCTCAGCACCAGCTGCCACTTACAGATCAAAACGGAGGTTCTGCTTCTCCTCAAAGAAGTAATCCACAATGAATTTGCGCACAAAGTCAGGGTTGAGTGTATTGTCGATGACTTCAGTGCGTCCGAACTGCAAGAGAAAATAGGGTGTGGACCTCAGGACCAGGCTGTGGGGCAGGTGAGAGCACGGGGCTCCAAGTTCCTCAGCCTTGGCCCCAGTAGGAATGGGAAGCCTTGCCTTCTGGCCCCCATCCCCTATCCCCAGTCAGGGCAAGAGCTCTTCCATCTAACAACGGAAACCATCCCCGATATGGCTCCAACTCCAACCTCGGCTTTCTTCTCCCGACCTCCATCTAGGCTCCACCCAAGTTGCAAGGTTTTGATACCCGAATACCTGAGCAGGCCCTTCACTTCGGCTTTCCCTTTTCTGCCAGGGGCATGTCCTCCATTTCTTCAAAATCCTGTTAATGCTGCCTCCTCCAGAAAGCCTTCCTGATTCTTCCACCCAGAGAGGTTTACTTCCCTCTGAACCACTGCTGAACTTGGGCTCACCCCTACGACCACCATCCTTCTCTGATTCCACAGTTAGGTGACTAATTATTTGATGTCACCATTATAAATGAAAGGGAGGAAGAAGGGATTGTAGGAGCTTTTAAGATCCCCACCTCCCGCCCATGCGCACTCCCTTCCCCTTGAAGGTGGGCTGGACTTCACAACTCACTACTAATGAATAGAATAGAGCACAAGCCACTGCCCAAAATACGTTATAAACTACCATGACTTCTGTCTTGGGGACACTCTCTCACTCTCTTTTGCTTGCTCACTTCGAGGAAGCCAGCTGCACTATGGAGAGGTCTGTGTGGCAAGGAACTGAGGGCAGCCTTGGGCCAACACCCAGTGAGAAGCCAGGCTGTCAGCCAACCTGCCTGTAAGAAACTGAATCTTTCCAAAACTACCAAGGGAACTTGGAAGCGGACGCTGCCCTAGCAGAAGCTCAAGACAACTGAGACCCTGGCCAACACCTTGACCGCAGTTTTATAGAAGACCCTGAGGTAGAGGATCCCACAAAGCCACACCCAGATTTATGACCCTGTTGTTTAAGTTGCTCAGCTCTGGGCTAATTTGTTACACAGCAACAGATACCTAATACATGAACTTAACTTTCTCCACATCCCCTGCAGCAGACACTCTAGAATTTTACACACAGTAGGCGCTCAATAGTTGAATCCCCTTAAACTCCCCAAATGACTTAAGGCAAGTCACTCCCAGGTCTGGGCACCAGAATCACTTGGAGGGTTTGATAAAAGACCGATTATAGGCCTCACTCCCAAATATCCCTTTGACCTCCCTTTGACAACCCTCGGGTTCGACTGTGGTCCACAGGGCTCTGAGCTCCTCGAGGTCTCCCTGCACTACGGAGGAGGGCAGTAGGGACATGTTTCCTGGCCATCAGGCCCATCAAAACAGCTCTCTCTTACATCTGTTGTTGTTTTTTTTTTTCCTTACATCTATTCAATACACTGGACATTTCTGGTGATATTTTGTTTAAAAAAAGGGGACACAGGGCTAAAAGATCAAGTTTAAAAGCAGTGTGCTCTGTGTTCCATGAAGTGAAGGCATGATACCAACCCTACAAAGTGAATAAGACAGGTGCATGATAAATATTTTAAATAAGTTGTGAATATTTCTGAATACATAAACATGTTTTTTTCAATGTGGGTGGTAATTGCCAAAATAAAAAATTAATCCCGAGTATTAGTCCCCCTTAATGGGGCTCTGCAGCTCAGAAAAATGCCAGTACACAGGTCCCTCTCCTGTGCGGTAGGCAAGATCTTCTTCTCTGGGACTTAGCCCAGCACTCATTTGTACCCTGATTTAAGTTAGAAAGCTGCAAAGAGAACCTCCCACCCAAGGACGTGTGGGGTCATCTGAGCACTCCATCTGGCATCATCTTGCCTTTACTCCCTGTCAATTTCACCAACCGAGCCTCTCTCCTTTCCCCCATACCCACTTCCTCCCCTGTGACCTCGGCCAGGGCTCCCCATTTTCTGAACTCAACCCCTGCCGCAGCCTCCTAGAGGGCCCCCTAAGTGAGAACACTGCTAATGCTTGAAGACCCAGCCCCCCGGGAGCTCCTGCTCTACAACTCCCAACCCCTCCCCTATGCTCCCATAATGCACCAGGTGTCCCTATGGCTGCACTTACTATGTCCCCTGACAACAACCTACTGAGGCTCTTCCCACCCCACTAGAGCTTCTCGAACAGCCAAGGATCCAAGTTCCCCTCATTTTTGCAGCCCAGGACCAGCCACTGTTTAACAGACTCCCATTCTCATAGTCACCAGTGCTTATAAGTATGAGGAACCACGTGACACATTTTGCACCGTATTTACCTTATTTCGTCCTTTTATGGTAGGCTCCCCCATTTTACAGATAGGAAAACAAAAGCACAGAAAAGCTAAGTTATCTGTCTAGGGTTCCACAACTAATCATTGCTGAGGGCAAGTCACAACCTAGGCATTCTGGCCCATGCCTTCCATGCCCCAGGTGCTCCCCGTGAGGTCCCTCGAGAGGGCAAAGGCTGGTCACTACTCTCAGTGCCTGGTATGCACTGGGGACTCAGAAACCATTGAATGAAGTAAGGTTGAATGAGGAAAGGGAAGAGCGGGTTTGAGTCGCAAGCTTATCACAAGCTAATTGTGGGACTTGATTGAAGAAAGCTTCCATTTCCTCATCAGAAGATGGGAGAACACTACGTGTCCTGCTTACTTCTTAGAGGTATCATCCAACTCAATTACCGATTCAACGAACAGTTTTTCAGCACTTACTATAGGCCAGACAAAGAGCTGGTGCTGAGCTACGAATATAAAGAGAACGTGAATCCTTTACTTAAGGACTTCTCTGTCATTGGTGAGACAACTCATAAACAATAACCGTAACACAGTGTCACAAGAGAGCCATAGACAAACATCTACAACAGGGTCTTCCCCAGCTACACACCAGAAGCCTCCCGGGAGAAATGTGAAAGATGTTGACACAAAGACAGATTACTGGGTGTCCTATTTCACAGACTGGTCCAGGCATCTGACTTCACCGAGATCTGCACCCCTCATGATTATTGAGCTATTCTGTAACAGAAAATTGCAGAAAGCACATCATAATGCAAATGATTCTTATCCGTATAAATGTAAATACATTTGGCTCAGTAGAATGCAATTATTTGATTATTGTCCTGTTGATACTGACCAATTTTGCATCTATTTTTAAATTAATTTCAGCATTCCTGATTGCCTGTATACAGCTGACCTGCAACAATGCAGGGGTTAGGGGAGTGGACCTCCACACCCTGTCGAAAATCCAGCTATAACTTTCGACTCCCCCAAAACTTAACAGCCAGCCTACTGTTGACCAGAAGCCTTGCAGACAACAAGAAGTTGATTAAGAAATATTTTGAAAAAATATATATATATTTTGTATGTTATATGTATTACATACTGTATTCTTATAATAAAGTAAGCCAGAAAAAAGAATGTTATTAAGAAAGTCATAAAGAAGAAGAAATTTATTGAAATGAAAAAAAATTATTTACTGAAAAAAATCTGTGTATCAGTGGACCTGTGCCAGTCAAACTTGTGTTGTTCAAGGGTCGATAGAATGTGTGTTGAGTCATCTGAACCAGCTGTAACATCTTACTAGTTCCTTCATTTAATTAACAAGTTAAACAAATCTTTACCATGTGTTCATTTTACCTTTAGAGAAGATGTATCCTTTAACAGGAGCTTTTTAAAAATACCTAGGCTCAAAATGCCGCCACAGACCAATGAAACCCAGTCTCCCTGGGTGGGGCCTGAACAACTGTTTTCTCAGTTTCCCAGGTGATTCTAACGCACAGTTCGAGTTGAGAACCACTGATGGAGGAAGAACACTAACATTTACTGAACCCCTTCTGAATGCTCACTAGATCAAGTGGATCATTATCTCATTTGATTCTCACATCGCCACCCCCACCCCACCCCATCCCTGTGAGTAACTACCCATTTTCCAAGTGAGGAAACAGAATCAGAGAGGTTAAGTCACTTGCCCAAGGTCACACAGCTAGGCAGAGGGGGGACCTAAATGCAGGTATGTGTAATCCAAAGCGCATTATATTTTTACTTCATCTAATGTTCTCAAGCACTATGAAAATCAAATAAAGATGAGATTTACTTCACAAGTATTTATAAAAGCCCCACTGTGTACATGCAATGGGGTAGATATTGAGTCAAATAAGACTGGGTTCCTGGCATAGCCCCTAAATTCAGTGACAATCTTACAATGTATAATCCATCTCTTGTTCCAAGAGAATTCCTGCATTTTCCTCTTCTGCTCTCATTCTTAATACCTCTAGTCTTCAGACAAAAGGAAAATTTCTCCTAATGGCTTTCTTGCAGAGTATTCTGGGTAAACACCCAGGTGTGAGAAAATCCTCCTTTAAGAAAGGGCTCTACCTCCTCTTCAGTGTATGGCTCCCTGAAATATGTTAAACAATCCCTCTGGCTGAATTTTAGATACACCCCAGCCCAGAAGGAGAAAGCATTTGTGCTGCCTCTTTCCCACCCGACTCTCAGCAGAGACTCCAAGGAAAACACCCATTAGGGAAGATGACAGCGCCGCTTTTAAAATGGCACTTGAAGCTTCAATAGAGGGGAATTCCCTAGAGATTGATCTCTGCCAGAGAAGAAAATGGAGTTCCCCTGGAAACAGGACTTGGAGTGGGACTGCAAAGGCCCCCAAGATCTCCTAGAGAGGAGAGGGAGCCATTGAGCCAGGCTGGGCAGTGATGAATTTCCAACAGGCAAAGGTAATTCACATATGCCAGGCACAAACAACGGTGAAATCTACAATCAAGGAGGGACTTACCAAAGATGTTTTATAGCCTTCATTACTTGGGCTAATCACAAAGGGAACAAAGACAAAAGACAAAAAGCTTGGATTCTGAAAATCCAAGAAGCCGATAGGTCTCTGTCAGTTCCAGTTTTATACCCCTATTAATGACAATAGGAAACAACCTAACTGATGTCTTTAAAAAAAATCAATTTGGTTGTATTTCATTCCACATAGAATTAGTTTCCAAGCCTGAAGGGACTTGGAC